TCAGAGATGGATTGCAACGCGCTGTGAATTCACACACTCACATAACTGTCGAGATGAATCGTAAGCTTGGGACTTTGGCCGAGGTATATATATATATACACATATATATATATATATATATATATATATATATATATATATATATATATATATATATATATATATACCATGTATATATATATATATATATATATATATATACATGGTATATATATATATATATATATACCATGTATATATACCATGTATATATATATATATATATATATACCATGTATATATATATATATATATATATATATATACCATGTATATATATATATATATATATATATACATGGTATATATATATATACATGGTATATATATATATATATATATATATACATATATATGTATATATATATATATACCATGTATATATATATATATATATATATATATATACCATGTATATATATATATATATATATATATATATATACCATGTATATATATATATATATACATGGTATATATATATATATATATATATATACCATGTATATATATATATATATATATATATATATATACATGGTATATATATATATATATATATATATATATATATATATATACCATGTATATATATATATATATACCATGTATATATATATATATATACCATGTATATATATATATATATATATATATATATATATATATATATATATATATATATATATATATATATATATATATATATATGTATATATATATATATATACATGGTATATATATATATATACATGGTATATATATATATATATACCATGTATATATATATATATACATGTATATACGTATAAAAACATGCAGTCTACAAGACAGTTTTAAATTCACTCAGGCAAACAAATGAACTGTCCAAAAAAAGATAAAGGACCCAAAAACCTCTCTCCTTCTTTCAGTCCCCTGTACATACTGCTGGGCTATTTCGCATCTGTTCAAACTGTCCAGCCTCTCCTGGTGAATGTGGCACACGGCCACCCCATTCAGTCTTTTCTGACTCATGGTTGACCGCAACCATGTTTTTAGCCTCCGTAACCCACTGCAACTGCGTTCTGCCTCAGCAGGTGATATAGGCACCACCATCAACAGTCTCACTAATGCCTCAACCTGATCAAATAGGGCACGAACTTCAAAGGGCATTTCTTTTAAAGCATGTGCAGCATCTGTACTCTCAAGTCTGCCACCTGCAGTTCAGGGTATTTCTGAGCTGCTGCATCACTCATTGTGGGAGTCAGGAGCAAGGCCTCCAATTCTTTCAGAGTTTGGATGCCTGGTTGCATAAACCTGAGACTGACTTGAGCATCTACTGTGTCTAAGACACGGTAGTACTCTGTTCTGTAAAACTCCACAGCTGATCTAGGTGTTTGTGCAGGAGCTTGCTCAGAATATCTTTTAGGGAGCCTATGTGTGCGTGGTAGAGCAATAGGTTCTAGACACATGTCACTCATGTCCTCTGCCTCCTTAAAGATCGCCTCAAAGTGTTCAGTGTTTCTTTTTGATTTTAAACTGTTTTTGACAAGGGAAACTGCAGAGAGCATGCCTTCCATGGTCTGTGTGTTTTTCTGGAGATGCATTCAGCATTTCTAATTCACCGATCACGTCTAATGCAAGCCAAAGCCCCAGTACTACATTACCCTGTTGCAGTCGAGCACGTAAGCCCTCTGCCTGACTGGCAGATTCAGAGGTACTTGCGGACATCTGATCTAGTGACTCCAGTACTATCCCATGTTGCCTAAGAATGGCACGAATAGCAGGTGAGCGTACAGTCCACCTTGTGGGACATAAAGGTCTGATGGACTGGAATGACCCTTCCCCTTCTGAAATAGCGTTGGCTTTAAATGTGTCTTTCAGCTTACCAGACTGACCAAAAAATGTGCCAAGCTCATGAATCCAGTCAAGTGCATTGCGTACTCCACACACCTCTCGTGCAGCACCAGCTGTCTGATGCTGCAGCAGCGTCAATCTTCCCGGCTGGATGAGTGAATTTCTTCATCAGAGTCAATATTCTGCTTCATAATCAGAGTCAGTCATTACCAGACAAAGTGATCAGTCAACAAGGACCAGACCTGCTGGCAATTATACGTTTTATCTCATATTTACTCTCTTCATGTTGCGCTCATCTCCTCCTCTCCCCGACTGGGAGCCTCTCGGCGGGAGGCGATTTTCAAACTCTAAAAACTCCCAAACTTTGCTCAGCCTGAAGGTTCCACATCTCCACTATCTTCTGGTGTAAAGCAGTAACTTCATGAGGATCATGTTTGTAGATGAGACTTGTTAAAGTCAGCAATGAGGCGTTTATAACGAGTAAGTCCCAACACTGACAACAACGTACTGAACCTAGAACCAACACGCATAAACAGACAGATCGGCCCCGCCTGCTTACACTGTTGGTCTTTTTTAAATACGCAGTAATCGTTGCTTCATCCTGCATCCTAGCAGCAACCACTTTGGCGCCTCTGGAGTCGGTGTTTGTTTACGTCATGCTGCATTCAGTGTAATTGGAAAAAGGAGCTTCAAGCGCTTAACCTCCGATTTTGTTTTCTTTCTGGCCTTAAAGGTGTGTGTGGGGGGATCGGGGTCAATTTAAATCTGGGGAGGACAGACCCCACCCCACCCCCACGCCGCCACATGCAAAAGCAGAGACCTGATCTCTAGGCCACCAGAACGGATCCCCTAAACAACTTGGCTTCACCTAGAAAGCCTGTCCATAATAGGTATGAACAGCATCGGTGACAAAGGGCAGCCTTTGTGCAGTCCAACTCTCAGCAGGAACGAGCCTGACTGACGACAGTCATAGGGACCTAACAGCCCGTATCAGAGGGCCTGGTACCACACACTCCTGAATTACCCCCCTTGAGGACCCCCTAAGGGTATAGAGCTGGTCCGGTGTTCCACGGCCAGGACGAAAACCACATTACTCCTCCTGAATCTGAGGTTCCACAATCCGATGGACCCTCCCCTCCAGAACGCCTGAATAGACCTTACCAGGGAGGCTCGGGAGCGTGATCCCCCCGTAGTTGGAACACACCCTGCGGTCCCCCTTTTTAAGAAGAAGAAGAAGAAAATATCATTTCTATAGCGCCTCTCAAGATAAAATCACGATGCGCTTCACAAAAACAAAAAATGTAAAAATATTTAAAAAAAATTAGAAAATGGTTTAAAATATATTTAAAATGAGCAAAAAATAGGCAATTGTGATTAAAAATGTTAAGAAAGAGAGAGAGTGAACAGGAAAGAGGGAAATCAGTGGATCCTGAAGAAGGTGGAATAGGTGGGGAGAGCAGAATAAAGAGAGAAAGGTGAAGAAGGTCATACAAGGGAACCACCACCCACACTGTCACTGCATCACTGTCCTCGGGAAAACAGTAATTGTGTGGAGGTCTGGGGAAACATACACACAAGTAATTCACAAGCAGAAAATGGCCGTTAGACTAGATAACAAATGAGAATATAGGGACCATCACCATCCCAATGAACCTTTTATAAAAAACACAAGCCCTACCAGACTGGCTCAATTTAAAACAGCACAAATAATACATGAAATACAGAGGGGGGAGTGTGCTAGAACAAATGTAAAATGTGTGTGTGTGTGTGTGTGTGTGTGGGTGGAATTATGGAGCAATCAAACATTATGGTTGGTGTAACATAGGATCCAGGCTGTATGAGCCATTTGGATGTTTCATTGCTAATGAATAGATTATTTATCTTAATTCGTTTTCTAGTTTGCTGAAAATAAATATGGTGTCTTGTTAGCCCCCCCCCCCCCACACACACACACAATTTCTGTCTAATGTAGCTATGATTTAATTATCGTGGAAGTTATTTTTTTAAATAAATGACTACTTCTACTGCTACTAGTACTAAATTACTACTACCACTACTACTACTTGTAGAGCAGGGTCAGACAGTCCTACATGCTGAATCTACATACTCCTCCCTAAATTGACATTGTGCTTTATTTTTATGGTAGAACTCTTGTGTTTTAACATCTTCATGATCAAGTATTCGTGGTGTTTACTGTGAACATCTTGTAGTCTGTGTCTGAAGAGGCAGGTAGTCGACTTGACAGTGGAGGGTTACACCCCGGATGAGCTGGATGCTGGCCCTGCTGTCATGGTGGAAGACTGGTGAGACCCCATGGATGTGCAAATTCTAAATGAACAATCAATAACTGCTTTGGGTGGCCTTTAGAATGACCTCAGTTTGGAGTCAAAGGGTCCACATCACTTTACAAACCTTTATAAACTATCAGCATGATATTATGATGTTTATAACATGGGATCTGTGGTCTTTTCCAGCAGAAATTAGCTGCAAAGCTAGCTACTGTAGCACGCCTGGCTAACAGGCCCGTAGCTCATCTTTTTCAATCACTCCTCATCTCTGTTTCTCCAAACTGAGGTTGTGGGCTGAATGTTGGTGCCCTGAGCAGAGGCACAGATCAAGGCAATGATTTACCTGTAGGTACTGCAGCAGGACAGACTGCGGCTGCACCTACCAGATTACCATCTGTCTGCTGGACGAGAATCAGGAGGTCATAGAGGAGTTCAAACCTGAACTGCAGACTGTGGACCCTGAGGAAGACTGCTCATGGAAACAGGTAAAAGTTAAATATGAAACAAAACTCGTGTTCAAAGCTGTGTCCAATCTAAAGCTGATCAGAAAAGAGAGTTTTCCATCTTTCAGGTTAGCCACATGTTTTCTGGCTATGGCTCTGGGATGCGTTTTATCTCATTTGAACATGGAGGACAAGACACCAAGTTCTGGAACGGCTGGTTTGGTGTTAGGGTCACCGGGAGCTCCGTTGCTCTGGAGATCTGACCACATGAAGCAGGAGGGAAAAAAGGGCCGGAATGCTGACAATGAGCAGTGAGAGAAGGAGGGGGAGGGAAGAGCTACATGCTCGATCTACTCTTGTAGCAGAAACAACCCCTCCAAAACCTCACCCACACCCAACACACCTCACCTCACTTCACCTACACCAGGGGTCGGCAACCTGTTCCCATCAAAGAGCCATTATTACCCGTTTCCCACAGTAAAGAAAACACTGGGAGCCACAGCAGCGTTGTGGGCGGGGCCTACCCTCAGACAGCAGAGCGCTGCTCACAACAGGTGACAGCAGCCAGTACCGGTCGCTCGTGTACGTCAAAGTTATCTTTCATAAGACGATAATCAATAAAACGATTTATATAAAGTGGATCCAGAAGTTGTAGCCCGTCTCTGCCGACAATATTTAGATATTTTTCACCCTGTTGGTGGTTTTACTGAGCAGGTGCCACTTTTGTCATACGTTTCTTTTTAAAACATGTTTAGACTGTTCAGAATACAAATCCAGGCTCTGTCACGTTTGATTGTTGTAATTAAACTTTGTAGGTGGGGAAGGTCAGAAAAGGATCCGATCATTTTGTTTTTCCCTCATTTACAGTGACGGAGATAACGGCGCAGTGCGCCTGGCTCTGGTGGTAATCACGTTTAATTTTAGCTATTTTCACAAGAAAACAGAACAGTTAAAAGCAGGGCTTGTGTTGACCGGACAGTTCCCGTATTTGACCGTTTATTTTGACGGAGAAAGAATAGAAAGAATTACCCCGACACATGCAGACGAACTGACATTTTGTTCGTTTAGCTAATCGCAGATGTAGCTAAATCACTCAAGAAAAGATTCCCATCTGAACATCTGAGCTGGACACTGCTCAGCGCAGCTCGCTGTCAGCGTGTACTACATGAGGTGCACAGCGAGCTGAAGATGTGGAGAGGGGCTTGGAGAACGTCGCAGAACCAGAGCGCATGCGGGAAGATTCCTCCCAATGAATGAATCAATCAATCAATCAATCAAATTTTATTTCTAAAGCGCTTTTCAAACAAAGTGTTATTCAAAGTGCTTTACAAAATGACCCCAGATTCCCATAACAGGTTAAAAACATTAACAAACATATGCAATCACACGCACACACACACAGACTCACACACACACACACACGAGTAAAAATTATATTAGGCTGAGTCCAGATGAGCCAAGTATGGTAACGCAAGGAAACGCCATCAGAGGAGCCGTCTGCCCCGGCAGCATCAGGTCTTCCACACCAAGTCAGGGCGCTCAGTGGAGGGGGAGCATAGACCCCCACCTATAGAGCGCCCAGGAAGCTACAGTCGACCACCGCTCCCGGGGCAGAGGGCCCCTACAGAGGAAACACTGGATTAAAATGAGTAAAAATGTAATAAAAGAGCTAATATAAATGACAACAATTAGAAAATAAGTAATAAATAAAATCATAGACAGTAAAATAATAATTTAAATAATAAAACTGTGCTAAAATATGATCATATAGAACATGCAAAGCAAGTAATAAAATATAATCATGTAAAACGAGAAATAAAACTGTAGTAAATATTTAGATAAAAGCTAACCTAAAAAGACGGGTCTTGAGTCTTGACTTAAAAACATGAAGCGAGTGTTTTCCAAACCCGGTCGCTCAGAGAGACTTGTCACTTAGAAAATGCTCCCTGATGATGAAACTTTGGCTGAATAGCGCTTGTTCCTGTCTCCAATGTGGCGACACATCCAGGAGCCGTCTGAGGAGAATCCCAGAATCTCACATCCTCTTCAGCTCAGAAGCGCCGATATGATTACGCACAAGCGTGACGCGTCAACCCGGTCTCACAGTAAGACCGGGTTGGACCTGTTCAGGTTTACGCAGACAATCTTTACATTTAGAATTGGCATACAGATGTAAAATTAATTCAGTAAAATATAAAGCATTTTATTTAAATATCCAGTCATTATTTTACAAGCACAGAGAGCCGCATCAGATGGATGGAAGAGCCGCATGCGGCTCCAGAGCTGCGGGTTGCCGACCCCTGACCTACACCAACACACCTCACCTCACCTCCCCAACACACCTCACCATGGTGGATTAAAACATATACAAAAATTAAAAAATGAATTTAATGAGTTGATGTCTCCCAATAAGTCAAATAAAAAGTTTTGAATGAGTTTCTTTCTGTCTGAACATTTTTATTTTTACCTCAACCAGACCAGAATCTGAATGTTTGGCCAAGTGATTATCAAGCACAGCAACAAGGCACATGGTGCATACAGAGATCAAGACAACTGTGATTCAAATAGGTAAGTTGTGGAAGTGTGAAATATTAGAGACACATACAGACACTTCTGCTGGTCAGTCTGATGCTAGCATAAAAAAGGCTCACCGCTGTCAGAAAAGCCCTCTCAACCACAGGAGACTCGCCTGTCTGAGACTCTGACCACGTCAGCAGTTGGGAACTTTTCCTTGATGAACTCTTGGATCTTGGATGTGTAACGTGTGAAAGAAAATCTAATATTCCATAAAAATATGGATTATCAATAAAATTGAACCTATAATATTGGATTGATGATGAAACTGGGTAATTTGGATATGCCAGGGAAACAACACTCATAATAATTTGACACAGAGACAAAAAATAGTTTATTAAAATCTATTTATTATTTCTTTGACTACTGATGATGCAGGATGAATGAATATAAAGCAAAGCAAAAGGTGTCATGTCCAAGATTATTCATACCCTTTAAAAACTCTCCGTCTCTGGGAAAAAGTTCTAAACCATTCCGAATTGTCCAAGCTGTTCTCAAGCATCTTAATTACCCACATGAATTGGAAACCGCTGTTTTAATCAACTCAACAGGTGAAAACAGCAGCTCAAATGTAAATAAAAGCTGAGAAATGTTTTTTGGCGCAATAATGCCTCTTGTACATCGTCTGCTGGGAGACACTTATGTCAGTTCCCGCCCAAAACAACTCGCTGGTTGAATAAAAATAACTCTGAACTTTCCGGAACCGCGCTGCTTTGGGTGGCTGCATTGGAGTAGCTCTGTTGACTATATCTTAGAGGATTTTTACAGCAATTTTTTCACTTTTTGAGCATTTGTTATGATGCGTAACCATGACAACAAGCCGGTTTACAATCGGTAGCAGCTGATTAACATTGGAAAGGCTGAAATAATACCTCAACTGAAGCCACAAATCCCAAATGAGCTAAAACGCAAGAAGCGTGGGTGCAGAGCGGGAGCAAAACGGAGACAGAGAAAGAGGAAATTCAAACCATCTCTTCCATCGATCATAATGGGCGATGTGAGATCACTGGCCAACAAGATGGAGGAACTCCAAGCCCTTTCAAGGATCAGCCAGAGTATCGGCAGTTTCGGAACCGCTGGAGGAGATCATGCAAAGAAGGATTCTCCAGAGAATCAAGAACATGATGGACAACCCTGAGCGTTCTCTTCACAAGACTGTCCGACAACGGAAGAGTGTCTTCAGTCAGAGGCTTCTTCAGTTTGGCTGCAACACTGACCGCTACTGGAGATCCTTCCTGCCAACAGCCATTGTAATATACAACACCTCTTTGATGACTTGATTATTATTATTATTCTGAGCTACTACAGCAATCAGTTTCCCTCTGGCATTAATAAAGTATTTTTGTATTGAATTGAAGTGATGGTGTGTAGTTTTCCTGGTGATGGAGGCAGTAGACACTTAAATTGTTGCAAGCAAGTAGCATTTTTGTGTTGGAGTAAGACCTTACAAACGGATGCCCATTAGGGTCAAAAAGCCCTGGAGAGTGCGAACTTTAACAAAATAAAAAGCACATCAGACTGCCTTTCATCACTGGCAACTAGTGAAGATGTAAATGTGTAAAACAACAACATTTAAGAATGATGAAAGTTTTGTAACCATTTGTTACAAATCAGTAAATGATTTTTGTCCTGACGGGCTCCTGTAGAAGGAAACATGGCATCTAATATGGCGTCGCCCAGAGACTTAGACAGGCTCCCATGTATATTAGACCTGATTTTATGACTATTTGTTACAAAGCCGCCAATAATTCTCAACAACTGGGCATCATTTCATTCATTTTCAACAACATTTTGATGGATTTTTCCAGAGATTATTGGTGAAAACTACGTTGTCTTTTTAAGCATAAATTTGCCAGCACTGTATTTTGATGTTGTGCTCCTGTTGGCAGTGGACTCAGTGGTCTCGTTAAAAAAAGCTGAAACTCACCTGTTCAGGCTGGCTTTGGTGTGACCTTTGGTTGATTTTTCATCACTATCTTCTCCTCATTCAGTTCCTTCTACCTATTCGGCCTTTTCTGGGATCCACTGATTATCTAGCCTAGAACCTACACCGCCATTTACTTAAGATAAATTATTTAGCCCGGCATTTTATATATCAAACATGTATAGGATGGCATGCCATGCTACTGATGACCTCTTTCTTATTCACTTTCTTTCTCCACATTTTTATCACAATTTGTTTACACCTCCCCATTAAACAAAAGTGTTTTTATGAAGCACCTCGTGGTTTTTATCTTGTGAGGAGCTATAGAAAAGATAGTTTCTTCTTCTAGCTGCAGCATTTTGGACTAGCTGAAGACTTGGCTACATTCTGTGGACTTGCTGAGAGAAATGAATCATTTAATTTCATTTATATAGCACTTTACTTGCTCTCAGTCAAAGGAGCTCAAAGTGCTGAACACAATACACAAAAATATAACAGGGTACATTAAAAAAAGCAAAAGTCGAAAAAAAAGTACATTAACATGGTCAGGCTTAACAACTCTTAAAACAGTAAAACAATAAAAATTTAACAGGAAAACACCAAATAAAAACCCACCACACAATAGATATATCTAAATTGCTGCCTCAGTCTAGATTTAAAACTCCAAATTGAGGTAGGTCTTCTGACTTCCAAAAGGAAGATTATTCCAAAGTCTTTGGTCTAATTCTGCAAATGATCAATTGCCCTGACACTTGGTTCTAGTCTAGACCTAGGGATCACCATTTCCTTGGAAATGAAAGGAGATATCATCAAAACTAGGAGCATCATTCCTGGAAAGTATGCTTCTAATCTTAGCAATATTCCGAAGGTGGAAAAAAGAAATCCTACAAACTTGTTTAACCTGGGATTTGAATGACATGTCCTGGTCAAAGATAACACCAAGGTTCCTTACTTTGTTCTCGGAGACTAATGTAATGCCATTCGGGTCAGGTGATTGACTAAGCAATTTCCTTTTCTGGATTTCTGGTCCAAAGAAGAGAACTTCAGTCTTGTTTTGATTTAAAAGCAGAAAGTTAGAGTCATCCAACTTTTTATGTCCTCAAGACAAGCCTGTAATCTACCCAACCGATTAGGTTCATCAGGGTTAATGGATAGATATAACTGAGTATCGTCAGCATAACAGTGGAAGTTTATCCCATGCTGTCTAATGATTTTAACAATGGAAAGCATATATAAATGATAAATGACCCGCACTTGTATAGCACCTCTTAGATTAAGGACTCTAAAGCGATTTATACTACAGTGTATCATTCATCCATTCACACGCTAGTGGGGATGAGCTACGATGTAGCCACAGCTGCACTGACAGAGTACATAGTATACAGTATAAAGTAAAAAGAATTGGTCCAAGCACTGAACTCTGTGGTACTCCACAAGTAGAGTATGAAGATTTATCATTTACATGAACAAACTAAAATCTGTTGTGTGTGAACTGAAATGTTGAACTGATGTACGTTTTAGCAGTACACTTTGACCTTACACAAGAGTAATTTTTAAGATACCATACCATACCATACCATTTTATTTATAAAGCGCATTCAACATGGCATTACAACCAGACAAGGCGCTGTACATTAAAAGATTACAGTTAATTAACACGTACAGAATGACATTTAAAGCATAGTTTATAAGAAAAAAAAATGAAAACAAGAAAATACTAGAACTAACAGTCGTAAAACACTAAAAACACAAAAGGAATGTGAAACAACAGATAAAAACATATGAAAGAACCACAGTAATACAGATGTTAATTATAGTTCATTCTATTGTAGAAAGAATGCAGATGTCGAAAGTGGTCCATGACTATGTATTATATGCAAGGTTGAAGTAGTGAGTTTTCATGCGAGATTTAAAGATGCTAATTGTTGGTGCTTGCCTCACTAGTAGTGGTAATGCATTCCACAGCTTGGGAGCACAGACAGAGAAAGCCCTTTCTCCACGGCTTTTCAGACGTGCGTTTGGAAGAGCTAGGAGGAGCTTATCTTCAGACCTGAGAGCACGAGGCGGATTGTAGTAATGGACGAGTTGACACAGATATGGAGGAGCTTGACTGTTCAGGGATTTATAAGTGAGAAGCATGATTTTGAAATTGATCCTGAGATGAACGGGCAACCAGTGGAGAGATTTTAGAATTGGTGTAATGTGCTGTCTTCTGTCAACTCCAGTCAGGAACCTAGCTGCTGAATTCTGGACTAGCTGAAGTCTAGATTGAGCTGCTTTACTGATGCCGTATAAGCAGGAGTTGGAGTAATCCAGCCGTGAAGTGATGAAAGTGTGGACTACTGATTTGAGAAGACGGACACTCAGGATGTGCTTAAGTTTAGAGATACGCCTGAGGTGGTAAAAACATGATTTAACTGTGTTAGATAAAAAACTTTTATTTTTTTTGCAACAATCTTATAATGGGCTATTCTGGTCTTTAAACTAGGGCCCGACCGATATATCGGCTGGCCGATATTGGGGTCAATAACAGAATCGGCTATCGGCCAAAAAGACGGCTGATATTGTGCTACCTATCCAGCAGATGGCGCCAGCTTTATGAACTCATGTGTGGCTCCACTTCTTTGAACTTTGAACACAAATTATTGTTTTGGAACCTTTTTTTAATTTATTCTTATTTATGTTTCTTATGTGCAATTATTTCCTGTCCAGGGTGAATAAGTTCACCAAGTTAACTTCCACAGAGTGTTGCTTTGTTACAAAGTACAAGTATTACGTTTTGTTTATTGCTGCATTTTTATTATTTTAACATTCTTACAGGGATCTTCTGTCCCTAAACTTGTGTGTGTTGTTAGATTCCCCAGAGTTAGCCAAGTCAGAAAAAACATGTTGTAACCAGTTGTTTTAGCATGAAGCAATGGAAGGGAAGGCTTGCATTCACCTATATAAAAACACTATAATGTATATGAATTCACTTATATTGTTTTATGCTAAACTAAGAAAACCAACTGCCGCCAGACCATATTGGGCTGGTTATAAAATGCTTTTTCTGACTCGTCTAGCTCTGGGGAATCTTAACAAGACACAGTTTTACTTAGTGGTGGAATATTCCTTTAAGTTAAAATGTATTTGTGGAAACCACAGTTTACAAGAAAAAAAGTGAATGTTAGATTTATGCTGTGACTGAGTTTGTGTGTTCTGTTGTTTTTGAGATCTGCTAAATAAATCTTATTTGCATTACTTGGAAACCCTAGTGAGTTAGACAGTTCTTTGGTGTGTAACAGAGAAATAAGTTAGCATCAAAAGGCAGAGAATGAAGGGTTTAAGCTTAAGAACATTTTTATTTGTTTTTTTTTTTTTGTGAGGGAGATTTATCGGCCATTATATCGGCTATCGGCCTTTGTTAAAGGTTTTATATCGGTATCGGTCCCAAAAAGCATATCGGTCTGGCGCTACTTTAAACGTTTGGACACCCCTGGCTAAGTGCAAGCTCCAAAATAAGATTCCAAAATAAAAGAAACATTAAAAGAGATTATTTATTTTCATTCACATTTGACTAATTTGTTTAAAGCACACACACATATACACAATTACAAAGTAGGTCATCAATCACAATTTGACAGGAAGTGTCTTAATTAATCTTGCTTTGTAATGTTTCTAAACTAAAGCTTTACAATGTGAATAATCTGTCATATTTAAATAAATAAATCATATAAAAACACTTATTTCATATAATCAGTTTTCACGCAACCAGTTATTATAAATCTTTAGGTTGTACAGCTTGAGATTTACTTGCTAAGCATTTATGTAATTTACATTTAAGCATCCACTACTGAGATAATTCATGTCTGTATGGAACATTTGTTTGTTTTGGGTTAGGGTTAGTGAGCGTGAGACGGATTTTGGGATGAAAACTAAGCCAAGGATCTCACAGGGTTTCGGGCAACTAGCTGGAAAAGTCTTGTTCATTTTGTAGAGTCCAGCTGAATGGGTACACACAAAACTTGGAAGACTGTTTTATTTGACCAAGTTATGTTGGGCAGATGGCACCACTGTGACAGATTCTGCAGATTTTCTTGTAAATTCCTTCATATTTATGATCTAAATCTTGACTCGTGTTCCTGAAACTCCTGATTGACAAAAAACCCAATGAGACAGGTTCTAGAAACCCACCAGAGTTTTATTTTAGAGGAACACTTGATTTGGTGCAAAGAACTGGAAAACATTTGGAGTTGTTTTGGACCCTCCCATACAAACAGACTTAGGCAGAAAAACGTGTCTGGTCATTTTTACAACATGTAAACAAAATGAGCTGAATGCCAGGGCTGAGGACTGCCAACCAGAAAATACCTTGTAAAGAGAAAACCAATGGTGGCTGATCAGGCTGTAGACATGAAGAAAGCTCATGTACAGCACATCCAACAGGAACCAGCAGAAAGCTCTGAGCCACTCAAATCACCGACATCAGCAACTCTCTGGTTCTCAGATCGGACTGAGATCAGATCATAAAAGATGTGTCCACAGTAAACAGATTCTTACAGGCCTGAAAAACTAGTGTCTGTAAAACGAAGACCGACAGTTGAGGGTTTTTACCACCATCCTGTCCCAGTTTAAGTGACTGGTTTGCTGTCCATCACAGAGAAGAAGTGAACCGATGCTAGAGCAGATAAAACCTGGAGAATGAAACGATGTGACATCATTCTGCTTGTGACTGCATCTGCTTACAAAACGCCTCAAACTGCTGCTGTTCCAACTCAGTCATCACCTTGTTTAGAGCATAAATCTGGGAGGGAGAGACAGAGGTATGGTTATTAACGCTGCTGAAGATTCGTGATGCTGGGAAGAAGAAGAGCTGTGATCACCTCTGCTCTCTGTCTCTGTTTGAGCTCCTGTTGTGCAGATTTCTGCTTGACCCGGTCCCCTCTGGTCGGGGTGGTGTTCAGCTTCGGTTTGTCCTTACGGCAGGCAGGTTCCATTCTAGCGGGTCCTGATCAGACAAGAAGCCGGTGTCACTATTGACCTTAAAAGGATGAATAAAGTTGATTTTTGTTCTTATCATGCTGTTGTGCATGCACACACACACAAATAACCATAGAGAAGGATGATAAATAACATGGATTTACAGTAAGGTCACAGCAATTTTTAGCTAGAATAAATGGTAACCAGCAAGTTATTTTTTTCTAGGAGGATCTTAAGTTGAGTCAAAGGAGGCCAGACTCTATTTAGGAGACAGGAGAACCACATTAAACAGTTTTATTCAACTAATATATGATTATTATGGATTTACACCAGGGTAACATAATTTTCTACCTATAAAAATGGTGACCAGCTTGTTATACATGTCAAGACTCTATTTAGGAGACAGAGGAACCAAATTAAACCGTTTTATTCAACTTTTACATGAATATTATGGATTTACACCTGGGTGACAGAAGTTTCTACCTATAAAAACGAACAGTGAGTCCAGGCTGCTGCAGGGACGCTTAGAACGTCCAACAACACCCGCCAGCCTTTAGAAAGTCCAGCATATATTTTTGTATTCAACATAAATTACATTTTCAGTCACTGCGACGTTAATCAAACGCTAGAAGAAACCGTGAAACCCCAAATCTCCGCTGGAACAATTACGCAGTTTACGTAAGCGCTCTTCTTCTTCTGCCGTTGTAAGACTCAGAAAATGAGAAGCAGTCAATAGCGCCCCCCACAGTCACAGATTACGCTAGATCACAGATTTTGCTGTAACACCTGCCGGATTGGGCTAAAACGGCTAGTTTTAAACATCAGAAACAGCCCCAGCAGCTAACAGCTTCAGGCCCGATGTGACCAAAACAGATTTAACGGGTGTTTAATTATCCATATAATTAAACATAAGCCTGGATGTCATTTAACATTTCGAGTTTCAACATCCAGACATTCAAAGTAAGCTCAGCAATTTAAACAACATCGTTACCGTCTACAGGAGAACACGTTGTTTGTCTCATTTAATAAGCAAATACACAAAAACACGAAAGACGGTGTTTTAACACTGCAACATTCTGATAGCAGCGTCCTTACCCACGTTGATAACAACAAAACAGCGAAGTCAGGGGAATCTTCATGTAGCCACTTGCTAGCTAGGACGGTGTCACTGGTAAACAAATCCGGGTTCACAACTGGAGCTGTAGCCAACAGTTCCGGTGTTGCTATGAAACGTGTCCCCTGTCAAAAACGTTGGAAATCAACGTCACTTCCGGGAAATAAAACATTCTTTTTGTATTTCCAAATATTTTTATATCAAGCAAAGGACATTCGAAACAGCAAATCTGCACACATCATCAAAAAACAAGGAATGATAGAATCGTAATTTTCATCTTTGGTGACATTCAGAACGATGGTGATCTACTTAGTGAAAACAGTAAAATAGAATAAACAAAGTAAAAAGACTCACTAAATATACTAAAATTTGCAACTTTTTGATTTTACAAAAGGATCAATTTAAAGTAGGTTTGTCCAAACGCTAGGGAGCGATGAAAGATTACAGAAAAAGATTAAACCTGTTCGACCTAGATTTGATTTTAGGGGGTTCTGATCACTGAAAACATTTAATGTGCTGTCGTTTTCAAAATCAATGATGCATGGTTAAGTGCCTCTAAATGTATATTTATGAAAATAAAACTTGGCCATGGAAATAATCAGATCGATTATTTAGCTATATCTAATCAGATTTCTTTTGCACATCTGTACAGTTTTCTGTAAGGCCAAACATGAAAATCTGCTGCAGTTTGTTTCAAGATCAAACAACAAATATGACACTGGAAGAACTGGACAATGGTCCAGTGCCAAAACAGATGGACAGATGTTTCAGGATGGTCAGAGCAAGAACTGTGTGGTGTCTACCACTAGGGGGCAGTATAGGAGAACGTAGATTTTTTTAAAGAACTTTTATTGAACCTTTGCAAAACGAACAAAAGCGACTACATTTCAAAATTTGTTAGCAGAATGACATTACAGAGTAGCTCCGAAGTTTGTGTTCATCTCAACTTGCATTTTGTAGACACAATTCAAAGATTGATTGATCTTTGAATGTTTGACCAGTAGAGTTTAGGATTCTTTGCTTGTTCAGGGACCATAAACACACTTTGTATTAACCCTTTGATGCATGAATTATGAAATCTTCAACCATGATTTTTTAAACAATTTTTTTCATTCATCTTTAGGTGTGAATGAAACAAATTTCAACAAATATTTTTTATAACATATAATAATTTACAAATAATTTATTACATGTCCACCTCGGTGGACAGCGTGCATTCTGAACATGAAGTATGTTGGCTTGCCTTACTGAAGTCCAAATGGAGGGGCTCATGTGCAATAAAGTCTTCAACAGCTGTGCTTAATAGCAAAAATAAATAAATAACAATTTTGAGTACCTGTCCACTGTAGTGACCATTAGAGCCCTGCACGGGCCTAAAATCTGAGCCCGTGTCCGGCCCGGCCTGAGAGGGTGGAGTCCCAGCCCGACCCGGTCCAATAAGGATTTCAGGATTCTCTGGCCCGACCCGAGCCCGACTTTTTTTTAACCTTTCATAATGTTTTAGTGTGATAGGATGCTCTGCGTTCTAATTATCTGTGAGAAGCGTTCTGCAGTAAAAAAAAAAAAAGAAAAGACAGAAAAACAGCATCAATGCAGCTTTTTTTTTCTAACAGAGCGTATTTTTCAAGCGGCAGATGAAATTTACGAACACTATATTAATTGGATGCGTTTGTAAATTTAATCTGCTCTGAAAACGCGCTCTTGTGCTGTTAGAAAAAAAAGCAGCATTCTAATTTTTTTAACTGCAGCGCGCATTTTCAGAGCGGCAGATTAAATAAACGCCCCCCAATTAGCGTTTGTAAATTTAATCTGCTGCTCTGAAAATGCGCTCTCCAGTTAGAAATAAGCCAGCAATGAATGCTGTGTTTTTTTAACTGCAGAGCAAATTTATTCACAGAAAAACTGCTGCCGTTTTCATGAGGATAAACGAATGTTTCTGACATCAAAGTGGACATAAAATGGCGTATTAGAACAGGGGCACACGTTTCAATCAGCAGTTTGATAATCATTTATATAGGCGCATTTATAAACCACACACACCTTAACTGAGCTAATGGTGTGTGAGAAGCAGGCAGGTGCTGCTGCGTTCAAGTGTTTCAGTTTTTTTTATGAATTTGAATTAAAATGAAGGCGCCCGGCCCGTGTCCGAGGTAATTACACAGTTGTTGGCCCTCGGGCCGGGCTTCAGTGCAGGGCTCTAGTGACCATTATGCATCAAAGGGTTAATTCAGGCAGAGTCAAGTATATAATTAAAAAGAAGTTTATTTTTCTAAGTTAATTATAATACATTGTCACAATCCGCCCCTGCCTTCCTGACTGTGTCTCTCTCCTGCCCTGTTTAGTCCTTTTTGTTCTCACCTGCCCCTCGTTAACCTGCCCATGTGTTCCTAATTTTCCCTGTGTATTTATACCTCCCGTCTTGTACCAGTCTTCGTCGGATCATTGTATGTGCACGTGCTTGTTTTGTCCTGTCGCTCCCGTTCCACCATTAAAACCATTTTTATTTTTTCATCCGTGCCTGCTCTCCTGCCTCCTGAACTCTCCACCACACATGGTCTACCATCTCCACTCCGCCCAACATGACAGAATGATCCGACCAACCTGGACCTGTGGTGAGCGTTACATTCTGTTCTGGAGGATTATTTTTTTCTTTTTCTCCCGTTTCAGCGGAGGGAGATTCCGGCCTGGAGTTTGTTTTTCGGCGCATCCTACCTGTTCTCGGGGTGGTCGGGGTCATTCTCCTCTCCTGCTGTTCTGCCCTGTCCGGTTTTTCACGGAAGCCGCTGTTTCCTGGAACTTTTTGATGGAGGTAAAACCCCCTACGCACGCCAGCGTTCTTCAGAGTGGTAGGGCTGGTCTTCCTGCTCCATGTCTGCTTCCCTTCACCTGAGCCTCCGCCGATGGAACCAGCTGGATCGTGATGTGCACCTGCTCAGTTTGTCGAGTACCTGCTGCCGAGCTGTGTTTCCTCGCGTCGCTCCTGCAGTCTCATCCACTTCCTGGTCCATGCCTGCGGGGCCTACGCCTGCAGATCCTTCATGCTGCAGCCTCTTCCGAGTCCTGCTACTGCAGCCCAAACCAGAGCTCATGGAACTCTGCAGAACCAGAGTTGTGCTGCCTATTTCAGAGGCCCCTGCTCTGCCAACCCAGTGTTTGAGTTTCCAGTGTCTGAGTATCCGAGTTCCTGAGTCTACGTGTCCGTGTTCCAAGTTCTCTGAGTCCCTGAGTCAAGTGTTCCCGAGTCCCCGAGTCAAGTGTCCCCGAGTCCCCGAGTCAAGTGTTCCAAGTTCTCTGAGTCAAGTGTTCTTGGGTCTCCTGTGTTATGTGGCCTTGTGGGCGTCTGGTATCCGCCCCTTGGGGTGGGGGGTGGGGGGTGGGGGGGGGGGGGGTGCTGTCACTATCTGCCCCTGCCTTCCTGACTGTGTCTCTCTCCTGCCCTGATTAGTCCTTATTGTTCTCACCTGCCCCTCGTTAACCTGCCCATGTGTTCCTAATTTTCCCTGTGTATTTATACCTCCCATCTTGTACCAGTCTTCGTCGGATCATTGTATGTGCATGTGCTGTAGGTGATGTGGTGTAAAGTAGATGTGTATCAGAACCTTTGTATCTAAAAGAGATTGTGAATTCTGGGTGTAAAAGAATTTGTTGTCTGCTATAAACTAGAGAGTTGTTTAGTAATAAAACAACATCAGACGCAATCTGTTGTGTCTATAAATCCTGATCGGAGACCCCCAGTCAGATCCGGAATGTCAGGATGTCGGGTGGACCTCAAGACACCAAAATTCGTAGACCAACCGCAGTGCGACCAGTCTGGTCTAGAATGGTCTCCAGGTCACAACAGGCAGGAAGGTTCGTTGCGTCTAAAACAGATGGACTCGTAAAGAGCAAGTAACGCCTAAATAAACTTCTTTTGGCTGACAATCTGTACAGATGAGTGTCTAATGGTGCTGTACACACGTGTAATCATTAGTGTGGCAGTTTAGTGCAACTTACTCTAAATGTAATAATTCAGCCCCAAACCATAATTCTATCTCCATCTTCAGGTTAAAACTCTGCTCCACATTTATGTAGAACCAGCTGTGGCTGATGGCTAAGCTGAAAAACGTCAGCAAGTTACTACGTGGCTGCACTGCACTGGTCTCCAGGTGAGGCAGCCACACCTCCACCTAGCTCAACCACTCACCTGCCGATATGACACGCTAGCTCTCTGAGCCGCTCGCCTCCTTCAGAAAAATGCCCTCCTCCCCTTTTCATCTAATGATCGTGTTTAACAGGAAGTCCTCCAGAATGCTGCAGAATCTGTGTCTGCTTTTCTCCTGAGCGGTAAGTCTTGTGTGAGTGTGTGCACGCGCGACTGCGCACACGCTCGTTAACAACTCGTTTTGAGATTGAGAAACTCCAATAGCACATGCCAGGGAGGTTGAGGGGGGTGCGGTCTACCACCGCCTCAGTGCCGCTCTCTCGATCCGCCAGGCGACGCCTCTTTCAGAAGCGTTTTCCTAACAGGAAGTGTGGATGAAATACTTCTCCAGCCATGCCTTGAACCTTTAAGGAGCATTATGGCAGGGTCAGCTGGCAGTGTGCCAACAGGTTTGACTGTGTGTCAAAGAGAGAGGTGTCTCAAGGAGGCTGGTTCCAAACTGGCCACTTCGGAGTTCCGCTTGATACTGAAAAACTTGGGAAGTCACTCTAGTTTTACACTTGTTATCATTTCTGCGAATTAGAATTGGACATGTTTTAGGCTTTACCAAGCATCCATCAGAAAACCACACCTTCCAGATACAAGCTGTTCTAGTTCTGTGGATCAAGAATCTTTAAACTTTATGTGAGATGATCTTAACCTGAATTTGCATCTCATGAACATTGTGTATGAGTGTAAATAATGACTAACTTGTTAAATCAAACATTACTGATCATACGATATAAATGGATCATTGTAAGTCAACATTCATTTCAACTTCACTGAATTAGGCGCAGATTATTCAAACATTTCATACAACATCTGGTTCATTCGACCATATGATTATTTATGATTATTTAACTTATGAGTTGTAAAAGTTCACTTTTTAATCAGAATGTGGAATCCAGCAGTCTGAGATAAGAGGACAGACTTTTGGAGACCTAATTTGACAATCT